ATCGTAATAGTGGGGTGTGAGACAAGCCAGGAGTGCAGAGAGGCTGAGCGACTAGCCTTTGTCCCAGCTGGTAAGGATCTGTTTTCTCCCCAAACCCTGCCCCTGGTTGGAGTGACTTTGCTCGGTCAGCGTGGTCATAGACCTGTGGCTATGACGGCAGGATAAATCTTGAGGAAGTAAATAGTGATGACGATGACAAATGATGCTGCAAATAACAACTAACTCCTTAGGCTTTCCAAGAACGTTTTTTTTTCTGCTTCTTCCAACTGCCTCTGCCCCCTCTTTTTCCCCTTCTTCTCGACCTTCCCTAAACCCAACCCTGCGGTTTTGTGCTCCGTACAGGGACTGAACATCCAAAGAGGAGCGAGATAGCGCCCTCGGCTATCGGAAGAAGCGAGTCGATTGCCCCTCTCCATGAGGCAATTGCGTGCTGCCTTTCCTCCCTCTGCCTCTCCTCGATAACGCGTGATTTTCGCAATACAGACCCGGACTCCTTTCCCGCTCGGCTCCAAGGTTTTTATTTTTATTTTTTATTCCCCCCCCCTATGTATTATGTTTCTTTTTATATACTCCATTGAGTCGTTGAACTCGTGAGCCGCGGTTGAAAGCTGCTGGTTGCCTCTTCAGCTGACCAACCTGGACGCCACAACTTGGGTGCGCCACATACACGCACTAGCCACTAGCATGACGTAAGTTGCGCCTGGGCAAGCGGCCCCTTGTTCGCAGAGGCCCAGCCCAGCAGAGCAGCCCCGGTGCCAGCTCTGAACGCCGCACACGCAAGCGTGGAGCACAGTCTGTTCGGCGTTGGTCCCACTAAAGCAGGTGAAATTATTCATATTTTGCTCGAAGACGGCTTGATGAGGAGGTCCCCAGCCGAATGACAGAAAGAGTAAAGAGTAATGCAAAAGCAAAGTACTCTTCGTTTTACTTTTTAAACTCTCTCTACTTTTTTTTTTTTTTAGGTTTGATCTTCAAATATATGTGGGGTACCAAGAGCCAATAAGCACGCCAACAAGTGTGTTCCTCCATATATTGATAACAACCGCGAAGGATGAGGTCGCATTAAGACACAAACGGAGATTGAAATGCGAAAAAAAAAAATACTTTTTCTTGGTAATAATACTGCTTATCCACGGGGGGGGGGGGGGGGGGGGGGGGGGAAAAAAAAAAAAAAAAGGGTCCCGGTTTTGTATTGGGGGAGGCCCCTTTTTTTTGTTTTCGGGAGCCAAATTTTTTTAAGGGCCTTGGAAAAAGAAATGGGCCGGGGCAAATCTTTTTTTCCCCTCTTTGCTCCCGGGAAAAAAAACATTTAATTGGGGAAAAAAAAAAAAAGAGGGGGGGGGGAAAGAAAAAAAGGGAAAAACAAAAACCCTCATTGGGGGGGGGGCGAGGAGAAAGAGGAAACCTGCCCCTATTTTTCCCTAAACAAAAAATTTTCTTTTTTTTTGTTTAGTCGGGAAAAAAAAAAAAAA